GCTACATCCCCAAGTTTAGAATTACTACTCATTACAAAGCAATCCATGTCACAAATTTCAAATATGATACCAAGCAAACATCCAATGCTACATCCCCAAGTTTAGAATTACTACTCATTACAAAGCAATCCATGTCACAAATTTCAAATATGATACCAAGCAAACATCCATACCAACCATATAAGGAATCTAGTTAACGAAGATGGAATTTGATAAAGCATAAAATGGTGATGCCATTTTAAGTAAGCCCATGAAGTTACAAGAATATGCTTACCAAGAGGTTAGAACCAAGATCAGTTAAAGGATTCATCATACCATGAGATCTTATAAAAGTTTTAAAGATCGCTTTTGTTTTCATGGGACAATCAGATGAATCCCAAACTGATTCAATGCGAAGTCTCATCAATATAGAGATATAGTGATAGAAGATAGAACACAAAATAGATGAGTACTACCATATAATTAGCACATGTCCATGGCAATATATATTAGTAAGCCCAAATCAGTTCTGAAGATTTGTCCTATGTTGTCATGCTACATCAGTGAATATATCAATACAACATTACCTCCATTTTTCTAGAAAAATTGCATAATGTTTCATTTGTTTGCAAAGGAATCTTACATCTATTGAGAAAAGAATATTTGTTTTGGATCTAGAGTATTTATTCCTGTATTTCATAGTTTAACAACTAATGTTCTAGTTCTGTAGTGGCCAATATACACTGGCGGTGACTACTGACCATTGAAACTTGGACTATAGCTTAATAGTTAGGTAAGATAGACCCACATGTAGCTTTTACATTGCTTTAAAACTCAATTGGAGTCCCCATTTCAACAAAATTCAGCCACTATCTACCAGTAATGTTCACAGAATTTATGGATAAGAGAGCACTTAGAAAGTCATCAAAAAATATTATCTACAATAGAATCTATGTAAACCCTCGAACTGGTAGCAAACATCTTATTCATTACATGCACAGGGATTCCAAATGTTGCAAAGGCATATAAAGCCACACACAGTCTAAGATAAAACATCAGATTATTTCATTTATAGTAGCGATTATTTATGAGCTTCAACTTCTCACACATTACCATCATCATCATCTCGTACTTAGGTGCTAAACCCAAAATCTTGGCCTAGACTAGATCACAAATAGCTAAGACAATATCTCTACGAGAGCTACAATGCTGAAGAAACACGTGATTATTTCGTTCAAACCATAGGAAATAAATTATGACTGAAAGGACCAACCGGGAAAGAAGGTGGTTGAAGTCACCTTTGCGTCTAAGATGCAAGCTAGCCCACTGGAGCAGAGGGAGCCAAGAGAGAGTAGGCAATGTAGAGAGCGTCCTAATAGCGACCTCCCGCCAAACATAACTTGAGAAGTCACAGCTGAAAAACAAATGCTCATGGGTCTTTGTAGCTGAACTGCATAAAACACACAGGGAGGACGTAATGACACCATTAGAGTTGAGCCAATCTATGGTGTGAAGCTGACCAAAAGAAACGAGCCAGAGAATGAAAGAGTAGCATGGAATATGCCCTGGAAACCACAAGAGATGATGAATCGAGTTCACATCTTGTTTGTCTCGCAACACATTCCAGGCTGAATCAATATAGAAATGTCCAGACAGGTGGCCCTCCCACACAAGATTGTCAGGATGACTCACTAAAGGCTGCACTGTTATGGAGTCCCAGATATGCTGAAGGTGTGCACTGCCCAAAGGAAAATCCCACAAACCATCTGCAATAATATCTGAAACCTGAGCATCCCATGGCAAACCAGTGGAAGTCAAAGTTCTAAAAGGGAGTAAGTCACACAAAGGTCCTTGCGGCAGCCAGTGATCTCGCCATAACATGGTGTCCCTATCATCACTAATACAAGTCACAATAAGACTCCGACACCAAACCCTGCTAAGTAAAATCTTCCTCCAAGCCCATGAAGCCCCAAAAGTAACTCGAATATGCCAAAAGAACTGACCACGGATGAGAACCAAACAGGCCTAAGAAGACCATACAAAAGATCTATCATTAAGTAATCTCCAAATATGTTTAAGAATAGCTGCTCTATTCCAATCTTGGATCCTCTTAATCCCCAAACCACCCTCTCTCAATGGGTAGGAAACAGAAGACCATGCAACCTCTGCACCAAAAAACGGCATAGAAGTACCCTTTCAAAGAAATGAGACCAAAATACTCTCAATCTATCTAACTGTAGCTGCCAGCAAAAGAAGCATGGATAACCAATATACCTATATGGAGAAAAGCATCAACTTGATCAACTGTACTTGGCCTGCATAGGTCAAAGAAGCCAACATCTATAGCCTAATCCGAGATAGAATTCGCTCTAATAGAGGCCTACAATCAAAATGTTGAAGATTGGTAGAGATAAGAGGAACCCCTAGATATCTAACCGGTAACCAGCCCAACTGGAAACCCATGATAGATTGTAACCCAATCTGATCCTCATCTGTAACTCCCGAAAGAAACAACTAGCTATTCTCTACATTAGTCACCAACCCAGAAACCGTTACAAAATAATCCAAGGCCAATTTGATCAAGCTAACAGAGAAAGCATCTGCTTGACAAAACACCATCAAATCATCCACAAAACACAAATGAGTAATAGCTGCTTGCCTACACCTCCAATGATAATGAAAACCAGGGCTTTAAGAGGTTTCCCAAAAGATACCAGCTAACCCCTCAATAGCCAACACAAATAGGTAAGGAGAAAGAGGGTCCCCCTGCTAAACACCCTGGGAGGACCTAAAAAAACCGTCAAGCTCTCCATTTAGGCAACAGAGAAATACGGTGTAGTGATACATGTCATGATCCACCTCACCATACGCTCAGGGAACCCTACAGTATGCAGTCCTAAAAGGATGAAATCCTAGCTCACAGTATCAAAAGCTTTCCAAATATCAACTTTAAGAGCATATCGAGGTGAAGTACCCCCAAGATGATAATTCTGCAAAAGCTCTCGAGTCAGCAGAATATTATCAGAAATCCTTCGACCCGAGACAAAAGCAGATTGAGAACTCCCAATAACATCCGGAAGCACTACTTTAAACTAATTCACTATCACCTTAGTAATGCACTTGTGTAGTACATTGCAACAAGATATCTGTCTAAAGTCCGTCATACGACTTGGGCTCTCCACCTTAGGAACTAAAGCAATCCTGGTGGCATTAACACATCTTGGCATTTCATTAGTAGCAAAAAAATGTCTCACTGCATCTCTGAAATCTGTACCAATAATATCCCATGCCCGCTTAAAAAACAAAGAAGTGTATCCATCCAGATTAGGGGCTTTATCATCCGGGATAGAGAATAAAACAATCTTAATCTCATCATTAGTGATAGGAGCAGTCAAGGGAGAAATCATATCAGGAGAAATGCGCCTAGAAAAATACTTGGAAGCCTCTGCGATCTGTGGTTGAGTAGGGGTAGCAAGAAGATCCTTAAAAAAACCCTAAACCCAAAACTTTTTCTTTTTTTTTTTTTTTTTTTTTTTTAAGGTAAGTATATTATAAAAGAGACCAAAAATGTACAAAAACAAGGGGCATACCCCAAGAGGATGACTGATAAATCTCAGTCAAAAAAACATATGGGAAAACCCACAAAGCCACAAACGGCATAAAAAAAAGCACGCAGGCTCACAACAAAACAAAACAAGAAGATGCCATAAATCACAAAGCCACAAACCGGCATAACAGAGCATGCAAGCTCCTAACAAAGCTAATCAGGGAGATTCCATATCGCCCAGAGCTGAGTCGAGATCTTGTACTTAGGTGCTAAGCCCAAAATCTTGGCCCGAACTAGATCACAAATAGCTAAGATAGTATCTCTGCGGGAGCTACACTGCTGACGAAACACGCGATTATTCCGTTCAAGCCATAGGAAATAAACTATGGCTGAAAGGACCAACTGAGAAAGAAGGTGGCTGAAGTCACCTTTTCGTCTAAGATGCAAGCTAGCCCACTGGAGTAGAGGGATCCAAGAGAGAGTAGGCCATGTAGAGAGTGTCCTGGTAGTGACCTCCCGCTAAACATAACTTGAGAAGTCACAGCTGAAAAACAAATGGTCATGGGTCTATGTAGCTGAACCGCACAAAACACATAAGGAGGACGTAATGACACCATGAGAGCTGAGCCGATCCATGGTATGAAGCTGACCAAGAGAAGCGAGCCAGAGAATGAAAGAGTGGCGTGGAATATGCCCTGGGAACCACAAGAGATGATGAATCGAGTTCACATCCCGTTTGTCTTGCAACACATTCCAGGCTGAATTAATAGAGAACTGTCCAGACGGGTGGCCCTTCCACACAAGATGGTCAGGATGACTCACTGAAGGCTGCATTGTAATGGAGTTCCAAATATACTGAAGGTCTGCACTGCCTAAAGGAAAATCCCATAAACCATCTCGAATAATGTTTGAAACCCGAGCATCCCATGGCAAACCAGTGGAAGTCAAAGTTCTAAAAGGGAGCATGTCACACGAAGGCCGCTAAGGCAACCAGTGATGTCGCCATAACATGGTGTCTCTACCATCACCGATACATCACAATAAGACCCCGACACCAAGCCCTGCTAAGTAAAATCTTCCTCCAAGCCCATGAAGCCCCAGGAGTAACTCGAATATGCCAAAAGGACTGACCATGGAAGAGAACCAAACAGGCCTAAGAAGACTAAACAGAAGATCTATCATTAAGTAGTCTCCAAACGTGTTTAAGAATAGCCGTTCTATTCCAATCTTGGATCCTCATAATCCCCAGACCACCCTCTCTCAATGGATAGCAAACAGAAGACCATGTAACTTGGCACTAGAAAGGGACAAAGAAGTACCTTTCCAAAGAAACGAGGCCAAAATACTCTCAATCCGTCTAACTGTAGCTACCGACAAAAGAAACGTGGATGACCAAGAAACCTTTATGAAGAAAAGCATTCACTTGATCAACTGTAGTCGACCTGGATAGGTCAAAGAAGCCGATGTCCATAGCCTAATCCATGACAGAATTCGCTCTAATAGAGGCCTATAATCAGAATGTCAAAGATAGGTAGAGATCAGAGGAACCCCTAGATATTTGATCAGTAACTGGTCCAACTAGAAACCCACGATAGACTGTAACCCAATCTGCTTCTCATCTGTAACTCCAGAAAGAAACAACTGGTTCTTCTCTGCATTAGTCACCAACCCAGAAACCTTGGCAAAATAATCCAAGGCTGACTTGATTAGGCTAACAGAGGAAACATCTGTTAGACAAAACACCATAAAATCATCCGTAAAACATAAATGAGTAATAGTTGCTTGCCTACATCTCCAATGATAATGAAAACTAGGGTTGTGAGAGATTTCTCGAAAGATACCAGCTAATCCCTCAATAGCCACCACAAATAGGTAAGGAGAAAGAGGGTCCCCCTACCGAACCCCTTGGGAGGACCTAAAAAAATCATGAAGCTCTCCGTTCAGAGCAATAGAAAAATACGGTGTAGAGATACATGTCATAATCCACCTCACCATACACTCAGGAAAACCCATAATACACAGTCCCAAAAGGATGAAATCCCAACTCACAGTATCAAAAGCTTTCCGAATATCAACTTTAAGGGCACATCGAGGTGAAGCACCCCCAAGATGATAATTCCGCAAGAGCTCTTGAGTTAGTAGAATATTATCAAAAATCCTTGACCCAGGACAAAACCCAACTGGGAACTCCCAAACCCTAAACCCTTAAGAACCCTAAAACCCAAAACCCAAAACCCAAAACCATAAACCCTAAAACCATAAACCGTAAACCCTTAAACCCTAAACACTTAAACCCTAAACCCTAAACTTTTTTCTTTTTGGAAAAGGTAAGTAATTTATAAAAGAGACCAACAATGTACAAGTATGAGGGGCATATCCCAAGAGGAAGACCAATAATTTCCAGTAAAAAAAACACATGGGAAACCCCATAAAGCCATAACTGCATAAAAAGAGCACGCAGGCTCCCCACAAAATAAATAAGAAGATGCCATAAATCACAAAGCCACAAATCGCATAAAAAAGCACGCATGCTCACCACAAACAAACTAAAAAGATACCATGAATCACAAAGCCACAAACTGGCACAAAAGAGCACACAGGCTCCTTACAAAGTTAATCAGGAAGACGCCATACTGCATGGAGCTGACTCGAGATCTCGTACTTAGGTGCTAAATCCAAAATCTTGGCTCGAACTAGATCACAAATAACTAAGACAATATCTCTGCAGGAGCAACAATGCTGATGACACATGCGATTATTCTGTTCAAACCATAAGAAATAAATTATGGTTGAAAGGACCAACCAAGAAAGAAGGTGGCTGAAGTCACCTTTCTGTCAAAGATGCAAGCTAGCCCACTGGAGCAGAGGGAGCCAAGAGATAGTAGGCCATGTAGAGAGCGTCCTGGTAGTGACCTCCTGCCAAACATAACTTCAGAAGTCACAGCTAAAAAACAAATGGTTATGGCTTTCTGTAGCTAAACTGCACAAAACACATAGGGAGGACGTGATGACACCATAAGAGCTGAGCCGATCCATGGTGTGAAGCCGACCAAGAGAAGCAAGCCAGAGAATGAAAGACTGACATGGAATATGCCTTGGAAACCACAAGAGATGATGAATCGAGTTCACATCCCATTTGTCTCGCAACATATTCTAGGCTGAATCAATGGAGAAATGTCCAAACGGGTGGCCCTTCCACACAAAATGATCAGGATGACTCGCTGAAGGCTGCATTGTAATGAAGTCCCAAATATGCTAAAGGTCTACACTGCCTGAAGGAAAATCCCACAAACCATCCCGAATAATGTCTGAAACTCGAGCATCCCATGGCAAACTAGTAGAAGTCAAAGTTCTAAAAGGGAGCAAGTCACACAAAGGTCCCTACAGTAGCTAATGATCTCGCCATAACATGTTGTCCCTACCATCACCAATACAAGTCATAACAAGACCTCGGCACCAAACCCTACTAAGTAAAATCTTCCTCCAAGCCCATGAAGCCCCAAAAGTAACTCGAATATGCCAAAAAGATTGACCACTGAGGAGAACCAAACAGGCTCAAGATGACCATACAGAAGATCTATCATTAAGTAGTCTCCAAACGTGTTTAAGAATAGCCGCTCTATTCTAATCTTGGATCCTATTAATCCCCAGACCACCCTCTTTCAATGGATAGCAAACAGAAGACCATGTAACCTTGGCACCAGAAAGGGACAAAAAAGTACCGTTCCAGAGAAACGAGGCCAAAATACTTTCAATCCGTCTAATTGTAGCTGCCAACAAAAGAAACATGGATGATCAATATACTTGTATGGAGAAAAGCACCGACTTTATCAACTATAGTTAGCCCGCATAGGTCAAAGATGTCGACATCCATAGTCTAATCTGAGACAGTATTCACTCTAATAGAGGCCTACAATCAGAATGTCGAAGACGGGTAGAGATCAGAGGAACCTCTAGATATCTGACTGGTAACTGGCCCAATTGGAAACAACTAGCTCTTCTCTACATTAGTCACCAACCCAGAAACCTTGGCAAAATAATCCAAGGCTGATTTGATCAGGCTAACAGAGGAAGCATCTGCTCAACAAAACACCATTAAATCATCCGCAAAACACAAATGAGTAATAGCTGCCTACCTACATCTCTAATGATAATGAAAACCAGGGTTGTGAGAGGTTTCTCGAAAGATACCAGCTAACCCTTCCATAGCCAACACAAATTGGTAAGGAGAAAGAGGGTCCCCCTCTCGAACACCCTCGGAGGACCTAAAAAAATCGTGAAGCTCTCTGTTCAGGGCAATAGAAAAATACTGTGTAGAGATACATGTCATGATCCACCTCACCATACGCTCAAGAAAACCCACAGTATGTAGTCCCAAAAGGATGAAATCCCAACTCACAATATCGAAAGCTTTTCTAATATCAACTTTAAAGGCACATCGAGGTGAAGTATCCCCAGGATGATAATTCTGCAAAAGCTCCTAAGTCAGTAGAATATTATCAGAAATCCTTTGACCCGGGACAAAAGCTGACTGGGAACTCCCAATAACATCCGGAAGCACTACTTTAAACCGATTCACTATCACCTTAGAAATGCACTTGTAAAGTACATTACAATAAGATATTGGTCTAAGGTCCGTCATACGACTCGGGCTCCACCTTAGGAACCAAAGCAATCTTGGTGGCATTAACACATCTTGGCATTTCATTAGTAGCAAAAAAATGTCTCACTGTAGCTCTGAAATCTCTACTAATAATATCCCATGCCCGCTTAAAAAACAAAGAAGTGTATCCATCTGGACTTGGGGCTTTATCATCCGGGATAGAGAATAAGGCAAACCTAATCTCATCATCAGTTATAAGAGTAGTCAAGGGAGAAATCATATCAGGAGAAATGCGCCCAAAAAAATACCTGGAAGCCTCTGCGATCTGAGGTTGAGTAGAGGCAGCAAGAAGATCCTTAAAAAAACCCACCGCCGAACGCCCTAAACCCTGACTGTCAGTAATATGGGTACCATTTCCATCAGTCAAACCGTGGATGCGGTTCCGAACCTGCCTATGGATCAACAACCTATGAAAGAACTTAGTATTCTAATCCCCTAAGTTCAACCACTGAACACGAGACTGCTACTTAAAAAAAGCCTCCTCATCTCGACAAAGACTGAAAAACTAGTTGGCAAGGTTCCTCTTCTCAGAGATACACTTAGTAGAAAGGGGGTCTCGGTCCAAATTTTCTTGGGCTGTTGCCCATTGAGTCCAGGCCTCAATTATCCTACTGGAGATATGGCTGGAAACCCTAATATGTAAAGATTTGAGCTTCCATTTCACTAACCCCAATTTCTGCGTAAGATGGAACATAAGATTACCTATAATAGGCTAATCCCAAACTCCCTGAACAATATCCATAAAATTTGCATGATCAGCCCAAAAATTTAGAAATTTAAAAGGGGATGGTACCTTGCCACGGCGGGGACCAAACCGGACAACCATAGAGCTATGATCTAAGATATCTCGAGGTCGAAACTCTGAAACTGTGTTCGGTCAATCACCAAGAAAGTGATGCAAAGACCCAATCAAGCTTTCATAAAATAATCCCATCGCCCTACTGACTGTTATGCCAAGTATACCGAAGCCCAGTAAAAGGAACCCCAATCAACTCAGCATCATGCATATATTGGCCAAAATCATCCATATAACCATACCACGCAGGATCACCACCCACTCTCTCAGAGGCTCCCAAGATGGCATTAAAATCACCCAACACAAGCCACAGAAGCCCCTCTAAATCAAACTCTATTGATTAATCCCTAAGGAAATCCCACGGATTGCGGCGATTCCTAAGGTCATTAGAACAATACACAAAAGTAATCCCAAAGGAGAACCCCTCTGAAACATGAGTAACCCTGCAAGTAATCTCCTGAAGAGAGCAATGAAGACTATTTATAGAGTAAAGAGAAGAATCCCAACATACCAAAACTTGGCAACCAATAAAATCCGTCGAATTTAACAAAAACTGCCACGAAGGACAAACTGCCGAGACCACCAACAATAAATGAGATTGCTGAACTTAGTTTCCAACAAACCAATCAAACCTAAAGAAGAGTCAGAAATCCAATTCCGCACTACGCGTTTTTTTGAGAAGCCGTTAAGGCCTCTAATATTCCAACTCCATATCATTGGAATTGGGATAAAAACAAGGTAAAAATCACTTGAGCCGGAGCCTCCGCTTTCCACCTTTCCCCTTTGCTAGGGGTGGCAAGGAAACTGATCCAAATAAAGGGGCATCTGATGTCTAGAGATCGTCACTATGCAGAACAAGCGAGGCAAACCTATTGGAGGAAGTAGAGTGCCTACTCCCAGAACTCATAAAAGAAACCTAAGTGTTTTTCGTTCAATTTGTGAAGCCCATAATGCTGTCCTACTCATCCTCAATAGGAAAAGGTGAATCAGGTTTCGACCCCGATTCAGAATCAGAAAATTCACCTGTGCTAGCACGAACAATCTGTTGATACGAGACCATAGCCAAAGAAACATCCCCAACTCTAACTGTACTTGGAACTGAAACTCTAGCTGGTGCTGAAACATCCCTCTCTCGCTCCTTCTCCCTAATGGGATCAATAGAGGCTGACTGCCTCAAAGGCTTGCAGTCCTCAGATTGCACTACAATAGTTTTCCTCGATTCCTTCTAGAAACTAGTAACTATCTTACTCTTACCCTGAGCTATAGTTGCAGTAGGTAGCTCGGGTTGGTGACAAACATGACCAAAAAAATAGCACTTGGGGCACCTCTTAGAGGTCCACTCATATTCCATTATAATCTGAATGGGTTCAGCAGATAACCAGTGTTGAAATCTGGTATGCTGTCATAGGCAACCAAGATTAATAACCTTTCTAACCTAACTACTAAACTGTAAATAGGGTAAGCAAGGGTCGATCCCACGAAGAGTGTCTAGCCGAATTTTCGATGATGTGAACAAGGTTGGGGGGGTTTGAGTGAAACAGAAAACAGTCTTAGCAAAAATCAAAACAAAAACAATTTAAATCGAAATCAATTAATATAACAAAACTTGGTCTCAGACAACATCCACCATCGGAATCTTACAACTGATCATTGATGCAAAATTAAATCAATCCATACCTGAATATTCACCGTTGGAACTATTTTCCTATCTCTCCTTAATTGTAATTAATCAAGAAACAAGCGATCTTAATTAATCTTACCACTAAACAACCCTAGACAAGCGCTCAAGATTTAATCTAGTGGCAGCCTTAAGAATTAGAGAAATCGATGAAGCTAAACAACACAAACACAAGCGGTTGTATTTAATTTAGTTGAATGTTCTTCTTAAGATTACTAATTCCTAACGCAGCGAATTATTAACCCTAATTGCTTCACAAGTTAGAGGGATCAAACAATTACGGATTTGATATCTAACTTAGCAGTAGATTGCAACAATTAATAAACTAGTAGGCCTCCCTAGTAATTAAACGAAACAATCATAAAATTAGGCATAGAAAAACATCCAATACTCAAACATGAAAATTGAACACTAAGAAAAATATATTAGATATCACCAGTTTAATGATTCCGAGGCCTTCGTTTCCTCGACCAAGTTACAAATTCTAGCCACTCATGGCCATCACAAAACTCCAAAAGAAGAAAAATTCCAGAGCAGAGAAGAAAGAGACTGGTCCTGATGGGAATGCAAAATGTCATATTTAACCCCCTTATGTTTAGTCTTTTATACGTATTTGTTTCCTAATTGTACTCATTATTACTTATTTTTGGTTTAGAGCAAATAGAGGTGTTAATTGAAAAAGGGAATTAATTAGGGGAATTCGGACAGTTTCGCCTGCTTCGTATTCTGGCATAATTCCCTCATCCAAGCTCCGATTGAGATGATTCAAAATGATGTGAAACGCTAAGAAAGAGATCTACAACTTTTATGTTTTGAGTTTTTAGAGATACTGGCTGAATAAAGGTTGTAATCGAGCTTGAAGTTGACACACCTGCATTGCCGACGTCCTGAAGCTTTCTGACTTGTTGCAAGTCAGTCTATTATTGCACGTTTTGAAGACAACATGCTGCACGAAAATTACAGCTGGAAACAACACTTTCCTATTTTATAGGACTCTATTTTATTTTATTTCCAATTAGATTAAATTAGGATTAATGTTATTTTAGGATAGGAGAATATTTCTTTTAGGAGATTGAGTGGGATTCAAACTCTAAATTGGATTTTAAAAAGGGAGATCAGATTAGGTTTTAAACACCACCCTCTCTCTCTTTTCCTTCTCTGGAATTTTCTTTCTCTTGAGTTTTTGTGATGGCCAGGAGCGGCTAGAACTTTTGTAACTTGGTCGAAGGAAACGGAAACCTGGAACAAATGAACTGTTAGATCTTTCTGTTTTTAGTGTTAATTCATGTTGAGTATTGAATGTTATTCTGTGCATATTTTCATGATTGATGCATTTAATTACTAGGAGGCCTACTAGTGTATTATTTGTTGAAATCTACTGCTAAGTTTGATATCAAATCCGTAATTGTTTGATCCCTCCAACTTGTGAAGCAATTAGGGTTAGTAATTTGCTGCGTCAGGAATTAGTAACCTTACGAAGAACATTCAACTAAATTAAATACAACCGCTTGTGTTTGTGTTGTTTAGCTTCATCGATCTCTCTAATTCTTAAGGCTGCCACTAGATTAAATCTTGAGCGCTTGTCTAGGGTTGTTTAGGGGTAAGATTAATTAGGATCGCTTGTTTCCTGATTAATTACAATTAAGGAGAGATAGGAAATTAGTTCCAACGGTGAATATTCAATGTGTGAATTGATTATCTTTGCATCAATGATCAGTTGTAAGATTCCGATGGTGGATGTTGACAGAGACCAAGTTCGTCATTTTGATTGAATTTGAATTAAATTGTTTTTGTTTTTGCTGATATTGTTTTCTGTTTTTACACAAACCCCGCAGCCTTTGTCACATCAAAGAAAATTCGGCTAGACACTCTTCGTGGGATCGACCCTTGCTTACCCTATTTACAGTTCAGTAGTTAGGTTCGGAAGGTTTTAATTCTGGGTGCCTACGACAGCACGCCAGGTCCCCCTCAAAAACCCTAATCTGATCCCTTTGCAAAAATCCAGTTTTAGAATTTGAATCCCACTCAATCTCCTAAAAGAAATATTCTCCTATCCTAAAATAACATTAATCCTAATTTAATTCTAATTAATTTAAAATAAGATAGAGTCCTAAAATAAAATAGGAAAGTGGTGAATCTGAGCTGTAACTTGCGTGCCACATGTCCTCAAATCTTCCAATAATAAACTGCCCAATTGATTTGCATGACAAGGCAGAATGCTCCAGGACGTCCAGTGCAGATGCGTCAAATTCAAAATCGATTAAAACCTTGATACAGTGAGTATATCTCCAAACTCAAAACATGAAAGTTGTAAATATATTTCTTAGCATTACAAAGAATTTTGAATCATCTCAATCAAAGCTCGGATGAGAGAGTTATGCCCAGATTATGAAACAACGTCGAAACTGTCCAAATTCACTTATTTAGTTCCGTTTTGCAATTAACGCCTCCATTTGCATCCTAAATCAAAATAGAATAATAATGAGTATATTTAGGCAGCAAATAAGTATAAAAGACTAGACATTAAGGGGGGTAAATATGACATTTTGCATTCCCATCAAAATTCAAAATGGCACCTTAGAGGCTTTGCTGCATCTAGCTCAACACATACCCGACATAATCTAAACGGGTCTGCTCTAAAGTTGTCTTACCACTCGACAACAGTCAACCCAACATAGAAGAAACCATGCAGAGTCCTTTGTGAGACCACAAAGCATAAAGCAAACCATGCAAACGAGCCTATATCGGAACCTTAGAGATGTGGCTTTTATCAAAAGTAAACTGAGCATGCCATTGTTGCAGAATAATAAACTTATCCCCAAACATCCACGGACCTTTCTCTAGGACTGAATGCACCACATCCTCATCCCTAAATCTGAAAATGTAGAAACCAGTACCTGTGGACATAACATCTTCCAACCCTACAGCTTCCCATGCATGGAAAGCAATTGAGAGAATAACATGAAATTGCATAGAATACCCTGGGAAATAACCCATAATACAGCAAAGCCATTCAACATCATTTTCATCAATAACATCATCTGGTATATGTAAGATGTCCTCCTTAATATCAAGATCCATAGCTTCAAGGGTGAAATGGGACTCGACCTCTGTCACTCTAGCCTTATCCACCCAAGAGGAGGACACTCTTGATGTGCTCTTACTGAAAGAACAGCATGCATGCATGAAGAGTGTTGGAAATGGAGAAGAAAGCATAAAAAAATTGGATTCAAAAACCATTTTTCATACAAAGCATGGAAATGAAATTATACCTTCTCCTTTGCTTTGGATTGATGAAGAGTAGCTTCAAAGGGATGAAACCTCCACACTTTAACACCACCTTGAGAAATTAGAGAGTGGCCGTGGGTTATGGAGAGAGTTTCTTGTTTGTGTTTTTGTGAACAAGTTAAGAATGAACTAAAATGCAACCTTTTGCACTTATACATACTTGGGCAATTTTGCAATTATTTATTTTTCACTTCCAAGCTCAATAAAATCTTGTTTTATAAAGGGACCCCACGAATTTAATATGCTACCCTTTGAATAATCAATAT